ATATTACAGTCGGAAAATATGATTTTCAGTTGAAAAACAACAAGACATGCTCATCTATTACAAAATCTGTTCATAATTAAAGCCAAAAGCAACAAAAAGAAAATAGTTATCCTAAAGTCTTAGTCTAAATTATTGTTAATTAGCACAACAAAAAGAAAAACAGAAACTTTGAGTATGCATAAAGAGTCGTAGTTGTTAGAAACAATTTTTACTCTACGCTATTCCATACCTGAACAAAGTTTCTATGCAGTAATATTAGATCTTTCATGAAGCAATGTAGTTGATGTCAAAGTGTTGAATAAAGACAATATGAACAGTTAACAACAAAATAATGAGTATTAAACTTTCAATGGTAGACCGAATACACGTACAGTGACTGTGGAAAGAAAAAAAATTACTTTCGCTAGGACTTCTGAATAAGATAGCAGTTGAACTCATGGTCAAGCTGATAGTTGCCTATGTCGTGGATACGGGACAGTTCTCGAGATTTGTCTGATTCTACTTTTTTAACACGTGCATAGTATCAAGTACAACATACTTTTCCTCACCTCTTTTTCTTTCTCTAAAAGAATTTTTTACATTATGAACCACTCTGTGTACTTCTTCTTTTTATTTTTCTTTGTTTGTTATATTTTCTAGTCTTTCATAGTGTTATTTACGCGATCAGAAACAGCATAATTGAAAATAAATGTTATTTTTTTTATAGTTAACTAAACTGTATGGTATAAACAATAGATCCACCTTTGTGGCTCTTCTACACATTGTACTATGTTTAATTCTTTAAGATCAATAAATAAGATTAAATTAATTCAATTTTTGAATTAATAGTAGAATATCAATAAATAATAAATAGTGCGACTACATCCATCATTTTAAAGAGATTCAGGCTGATTAGTGATTTATTTTTCTCATTACAATGATTAGTCAAAGATCAAAATATACGTTATTTGAAAAAAGAGAACGAAATAACTTTTTCGAATCGTAAAATGATGTTTTTTTTGTTTTACTGTAAAACGTTAGCATCCTGGGCTAATGAGCATGCTTCTATTCTTGATAAAAAAAGTTCAGTCAACTGTCCATTCAACATTTTTAAGATCGTATGTAAACGGGTATGCTACCTTATTCTCTAAAGAATTCGTCGTTAAAAGCTTTCATCTGTAGTCTCTCACAATTTGTCACTTACTGATTGAATAAAAATATTAAATAAAAAGTGGATATAGTTCAATCACAAAGCTTTTTTGTATAGTATTCTATACTCAAAACATTTTATCAATGGTTCTCATATAGTGTCACTATTAATAGGAAGTTAACAAAATATGAAAAAAATAACAGAGGAAGTGTTAATTTTCCTCACTTATTTAATGTAATAAAAAACAAAAAAAAGAAGAAGAGATATAGAATTTGTTGATTTTATTTTTTGTGTCATGCCGCATCATGAGATATAAATAGATAGATAGACGATTAAAACGTAATTTAACAATCAGTTCCTGCTCTTTTTTTTTTTGTAATATAGCGTGCGACATACAGAACTATCGTTTCATAAATCCTTCGAGATTATAACGATGACAAAAAAAAAATTTTTTTTCAGAAACTTGTCAAAGTGTGTTGTTATATGACTGATCGTCTAAGTGGATTTTAGTGACTATATGCGTTATATAAACCAGAGATCATCATGTCACCAAATAAAACGCTCATGATGATCTATAATACTATCAACTGTGACATGCACAATGCGAAAAAACATCAAGTTCTGATTTATCTAATCTCAATTTCAAATCAAAAAATAACTTGCTGTTTTTTTTTTTTCTTTTACGTTATCAAAAATGTTTCGATGGTGAAAGTGATCTGATTTGATGCATCGACAATAAAACTTCTGAAGAGTATGAAAATATGAACAGAATTGTTCAACAACTAACTCTATGATTTTTAATATCTCTTAAAAAAAAATATGTTTTATAGAAACAAGAACAGTTGATGCATCGACTAGTCTCTTTAGCAGGCGACAATTCCTTTTCTTTTTTTAATGTTGTTAGTGACATTAATTAATTGACTATGCACCATAAACCGTGTCAAGTAGGTTTGTAATTAAAAAATTGTGATCAACAGCTGATGACACTAGTTTTTTTTTATTAAATTCAATCAAGTGAAAACAGATACGAAAATTACAAATCATCTTACCTCAATTTTACTATATCTGTCTATTTTGCATTGATGATATTTTTTATTTATTTTTCGTTCTTTAACAAAATAGTGTCTCAGTTGAACACCGCATCGACAACCAAGAGTTTTAGGCTAAACTGATTGAAACAACGGGCATGACATCCCTTGCATGAGTTAGTTGTTGACTAAAAATACACTTTTCGATATAAATTGGTAGATCACTATTGATAACGAATTAATCATGTACATTCGATTAGAGACCTACACGGATTAAGAAAACGTAACCCAAACCCGACTCGACCCGACAACATCTTAATCCGAATCCGACCCGATCCGATAAATTTTTACTCGTTTGTTTTATTCTTAAGTTTATGTCTTTTTATTTACCTATTTGCTTAGCGGAGGGCATCGCATAACAGGCGAGTGACCTTTTGCTAATATTCCAGAAAATTTGAGCGTAATATCTTTCTAAATTCGCAATATCACCTCTAATAAAAGAGAAATGTTATCATTGAAAATTGTGCGGTTTGGAAAAACATTGTTTTCCTTCAAGAAGAAAAGTTCAATAACACGCGAATTTAGGAAAATATAACGCTCAAATTTTCTCTAATATTACCAGACTATTAGCGAAATTTACAAAAGAGAATTTCACTTCTTAATTCTTTGTTTTGACTGGGTTACAGAATTATTACTGTTACTACACAGTGTTTGTTTAGAACAAAAAAAGTCATAACTTTTGAAAGAATTGCTGTGGATCCTTCTTTAAGGGTTTTTATCAGCTCACTTTCCTCTATTAACTGGCAGAATATCATTCAAAACGGAGTTGTACATCTAAAGACCTTGCCTCGTTAGTGAATGCAGTTGTTCTGAAATAAGTATTTCAACTAAAAATTTCCAGTACAGTTAACTTTTCAACGAGTAATACAAATTTGAAATTATTACCTATATTTTAAATTGCGCCACAAAATGTTCAATCCGAATCGGACCCGATCCCACAGCATCTTAATTCGAACCCGCCCTGACCCTAGTGTCGGATCGGGTTCGGATCGGGTTGCAGGTCTCTCAATTCGATAATAAAAATTCTTAATTTAAAACCATTATGTATCAAATGTTTGCAGAGTCGGTGGCCTATGACTTGTCTGATTTAATGCAGTCGATAACAGCTTACATCAGAAACTTACTTAAACCTTGTTGAGATCTCAAAATTTTACGATCTGATAATACTTTACCAAGTTCTTCTAAAGCGCAAGGTCAACATTATTTGCGTAAGGCTTTTTTAAAGATTGAATGAGAATCCGTAAGGATCTCATTAAAAACTATAACAATGTTTAATAAGATTCATTCACGAGTCATTAAGAAGTTTGGGTTTAATCTTTCTATTTTACGAAGAGAAGTTTATATTTTCTGATGTCCACTTCTTTGTGTTGACTTTCTGAACAGTTGGTGAATATCTTCCAACGAGCAAGGATGAGAGAAATTTGGAAGAAACTATCTCAATTATCTTTCAGTACAGCATTTATATAGCTGCCTGAAAACAAAACAAAAGGATGAATTTGAGGCGTACTGCGACATTTAGAGTAGACTGAGTGTAAAAATTTTTTTTTGGGCGAATATTTTTATATTGTGTATGGGAACGGGCAACAATTTCTGATGTTTTTGTTTTCCTAATGACAAGTCGGTTGAATCTGAATTCAACTATGGTAGATGTTTCGAGCATTTATATCGTCTGTGACAAAATGATAAGATATATAGCGTACTCTATATACATTACTGAACAGGTGAGTATCATTCATCAAATCCTTGCACAATTTATGCCAATTATTGATTTATCCAAATGGTTCATGAATTTGCTTTTTGCGGAGTGTCAGTTTCATATTTCAAAAAAATATTTTGTTGGAAAAGAAATAAGAAATCTTAGAGCAGGATGGGAGTTATATTTCCTAATTTTAAGCTCAACGAATTGTGGGAAGTCTGAAAAACTTTCAAAATAAAAACTCCTTCGTTAGGAAAAAAATTATAAACTCTACATAAAGTTTATATTTTTATTTCCGATGATATAATAATAGCACGTAATTGAATTCTATATAACATGACTGAAGGCTTTCTATATCTATTCTATATAACTTCTCTAAGGCTCTTGATGATGGAGATATTGCGGAAGATATTCAATGCTCTTATTAACCGATTTTGTTTTTGTACGGAGATATACAGTGTACAATGCTGTTGATATATCTCCATAACCAAAAAAACAGTCTTAGAAAACTCTGACACATCTCATCTCCTTTTGGATAAAAAGCTAATTCAGTTATTCAATTACTTTAAATTCACTTCATGCTATGACTCATCTGTTATCTAAGAACTAGTTTTTATGCATTGGTGACCAACTGTAAATGTGAATAATACTAATGATTTGGATGATGTTGCATGACAGTCAGACGTGCAACCGGTACCGGTATGAATTATAACGGTGACCGGTATATCAGCATTATTATAAGAAGAATAGTGGGCTTTCTTCTTTCTTTCTGTTCTTCGGGCGTTATTAGTCTTCTTTTCTCGTACGTTGAAAGATATGTATGTAAGATAGGTGTGTCTTTATTATTGTACTGAATTAGCGAGGCCTCGCTGAGCAGTTACAAGTAGACGATAGCTCGTATAGCTAACATTTGCTCAAATGTTTATTGTCAAACCACTCTCATTTGGACCAGGATCAATGGTCAGACAGGATGAACCAACATACATCAACTTCCATGTCAAACCAATGCCCAACGAAGATTCCAGATAGTTGCTGCCTTCGACAGTGATCAAAATCGGGTCACGATTTGGATAGTCGACTGCCGTGTATGCTAGTAAGGATCATTGCGCCGTGGGCAGAAATTACATGGAAGTCGGTGCCCACACCTGCACCGAGGCCTGTTGTGGCCTCATCTCACAGGCCAAAAGTGAGATATTTCGTCGTAATGTTATCATCGATTGCAGACATTGCTGATTCTGCAACCGACGGACACTTGCATGCCCAATTGCCGATCGATACGAACTGGCTATCATCGCCTGCCCATGTTGAACATATGCCGATAATTGAATCGTTTAGCTGAGTTATTCGAGTACTGAGTGCTAAATACGGTATACACTAAATGAATTAGTTTTACAACCGCATATTTAGTTCCAGAAAAGTCCAGGCCAACATAGAGGTGTAACCGGTACCGGTATGAATTATAACGATGACCGGTATACCAGCATTAGTATGAAGTATAATCAATCGGTCGACATTACTGGTATTTTGCGGTATGATACGATTTGACGAAAAATATCGTGTAAATTCAGTTCATCTATGACATATTTCTATAAACACGGAAAAAATATTTGTATTTAGGCAAAAGACGATCAAGACAAGCCGGTCTGGTACCGGTAAGAAGTTTGTATGCCGGTGACCGGTACCGGTATCGCATTTTTGATACCGGCTACACCTCTGATGACAGTTAGATCATTGCTTATATGAAACAAAATATCGTTTATATTTGAATGTACTTAAATATGATCACTTATCCAAGTCCTCTCGCAAGTTTTATCAACACTCCTTGAATTTTTCTCAAGTGAATTAAGGCCTTGTCAGAAAAGCTACTCATCTACTTGCCAAGTCTTTGACCAAATACTTGCTCAAGGGATTCGTGACTACCAGGGTTACTTTAAAAGTGGTCTAAACTGGTTATTCAGTTATTATTGATTCACTCTACCTTCTTCATGAATCCTATATTTATGAAATAACTGCATTTGCTAATTTATGCTTGTAACTTTAATAGAAATTAAACCAATCATCCTAATACTCCGTATTTTGTAACTCTGCTGCTCTGCCCTAGTCGCGAATTCCGAAAAACATTTCGCGGTGGTCCGTCTCGATAGTTTAGCGGGAGTTTTTACTTTAACAAAATTTTTTTGCTTGTTTCACACTTTTTAGTTAGCATTTTGGTATTTTCATCTGTTTGTTCAAATGGATATTGAGGCTAACAAGCGAACGTCACAAACTGTGACTCTAGATTTTAAATGGTATACACCCTGTAAGAGAGAGTTTAATGTGCTGAGTATATAGACACAAAGGAGCCAAAGCGTAGGACATCAGATAGTATGGATAGGATCGTTTCTAGTGGAAACCAACTTTTGCTAGGATTACTCAAAATTTTCTATGCGGTTTTGTCTACTGTTCTGTGAGAAATATATTTTTTACATAGTATACATACATATACCATCTGAGGCGTTTTAACTTGAGGACTCCGAATCTGTGCTCAATTTGTAATAAAAATGCTTTAGAAAAACAAAAATCGCAGAACACTGCCCACTTCTTAAAAAAATTGAATTTCAATTTCTCGTTCAAGTTCCACGTACCACCAAATACCAGTAAATACTAACATAAAGCAACCTGGAACTAAGTATAGTATATTATTGCATAGAAAATTTTGAGTAATACTGGCAAAAGCTGGTTCTACTAGGGACTATCCATACTACCTGATGTCCTATGCTTTGGCTTCTTTGTGTCTATATCTGAATTTTACATATGGGAATACGTAATTGAGTGCGGTGTGTCGAATGGTGAAAACAGAATCTTTTTAAACTACGTAGGGCGATCCAAAAGTAGTGAGGGAGGCACTATTTTTTCTTATAGAAAGCTTGAAAAAATTTTCTTTTTTTATGAATAGATAGAGCGTCTTTCGCTCTATTTTTCTATGCTATTTGATCACTATTCAACTAATATCATGATAACAAAATTTCGAT